TAAAATACAAATTAAATAATTAATTTATTAATAAAATATAATTATTATAAAAATTTATTATTAATAAACATTATCAATTAATTATTGCGCTATAAAAATACATGCATATTTTAATTTCTCACCTTCTGTTTTTGAATTTTTAATATTTGAGTTATGCGTAGCAGCTTATTCTCCATCGATTAATTATTTGTTTTTCCACCTTAGTGGTTCTTTCTGGACGTGGGACCTTATTCAATTATTATTCTTTTATTAAAATATTCTGCATGATGTCTGAGCTCATCAAGTAGATGAATTCTTAATTGAGCTTTTTCGTTCGCAAATGAAGATGGTTTCGATATTTTTATTGGTTACTATCTTTGGAATTCTGGAATTGTTTATTCAGATTTTAATTGATTCCTGGATTTTTTTTTTTTTTTTTTTTATGGAAAATGGATTCCTGGATCTTGATCAACTGGGATTTGTTTCTTGCAGGGGTTTAGGAAGATTGATTCAGACAACTGGGAGTTTGCTAATGAAAGGTTTCTCATGGGGCAGAGGCAGCTTTTGAAGAACATAAAAAGAAGAAAGGCTCCATCTCAACTTCTTCCCGTGGAGGAGATAGGACCTTGTGTTGAAGTTGGCAAGATTGGATTAGATGGAGAAGTCGATCGTTTGCAGCGGGATAAGCAGGTTCTGATGATGGAATTGCTGAGGTTAAGACAGCAGCAGCAGAAAACCAGAGCTTATCTTCAAGCCATGGAGGAAAGGCTGCAAGGAACAGAAAGGAAGCAGAAGCAAATGATGTCTTTCTTGGCTAGAGCAATGCAGAATCCGGCGTTTCTGCAGCAGCTGGTGCAGCAGAAGGAGAAGAAGAAGAAGAAGGAGCTTGAGGAAGCAATTGCAAAGAAGAGGAGGAGGCCTATTGGTCAAGGAGCAGGTGGTGTAGTTGTCGGGGGTGAGTCAAGCCAAAATGGTCAGGCTAGGAACCAAGGAAAGGTAGAACCTCTAGAATTTGGTGAATATGGATACGAAGTATCAGAGTTGGAGGTGCTTGCACAGGAAATGCAAGGCTATGGAAGGACAAGGAGAGAGCAAGAAGGGTCATCAGAGAGCCATGACAAGGAACTTGATGAGGGATTTTGGGAGGAATTATTGAATGAGAGGTTTGAAGGGGAGTTGGATATACCAGCATCGGATGAAGGTGAAGATGAAGATGTAGATATATTGACAAATCGGTTGGGTTACTTGGCTTCTAATAGTCCAAAGTAAAGAAAGTGAATCCCCAACTTCACTCCTGCTATATGCATTTGTTCATTTTGCTTCACTGACCATGCATTTCTCTTTGGGGGAGGAGACTTTAATTTGCGTGTAATTTCGGTCTAATTAGCACTTAAAGTGATATCTTAATCTTTGCAGGATGGGGTTCTTAGAAATGTCATCAAGCCATAATCTTGACATTAATTGATTTCTTGTTATTGGCAGGAGGGGAAGCAGTGTATTTATCCACGAATTTTCCTGGTGTCTCTAACCTTGTTTTTCTCCATTCAATTGTTGATTATGTTTCTCTTAATCCTTCTATCTTTTGGTTAGGTTGCAGCACTAGTAGATCCAAATTAAGGTAGTCACCCCAGCGTCATGATGTCTCAAGGTTGTTTTTGAACCCCAAGAAAACCCCCTCCATTATCCTATGCACAATGCATTTACGATCTGAGACTAATTTTATCTGTCTCTCTTGTTGTAATTCATTTCTGGCAATAGATGAGTGTAGATTGTTCTGAAGCAGTTGAAATGTGGACAAAAGATGTTGCTGCAAGTTTCCAGAACAACTTCCAACAATGGCATGGTAGATAACCTTATTGGTTTTGTTTGACAATTTACACTGATTTTTTTCACAAAGCACTTTATTTAAAAATATTAATTTTTAATATATTTTTATTAATTTTAATTAATAGTTTATATCTTTAGAAATAATAGAAGACAAAAAAAGCTCACCGTTATAGATATAGTTCAAGATTCCCAAATGAAGCCTCTGATGGGTCAATCTTTCTAATGATTTTCCTTTTTTTTTTTTTTTTAATGTTTCTTTTTTCACTTTCCCTTTGAGAGACAAGGGAGAGTGCTCGGTGAGGAATGTCATCCATGTTTACATTTTGTTACCGTGTAGATTTTCATTCATTGAAAAGCTCAAATGAAGATAAAGGAGAGAAGAGAATTTTAAATTTGAACCT